GAACCGGGGCCCTGCTGCTCAGAGCTGGCGTCCCAAGCCAGCTCTTAACCAATGTGCCACTCGGCTGGCCCCAGACTTGAGTATTTTGAAAACATGCGTATGTGGAGGCCCAGATTCCCCTGGGGCCAGGCCCACCTGGAGGAGGGAGGGGGCGCTCGGGAAATGTTCGAGGGCCCTGGGTTCCTCGGGTGCGTTGCCTGAGACCCCCGCCCCCGTTCCCTTCGCCAGGAAGACTACAACCACATCCACGGGGGCAAGTGGACTGTGAACAACCTGCGGCTCTACCTGGAGAGCACCCGAGGCAAGGAGGTGACCAGCAAGCTGTTTGACGAGATCCACTGGATCATCGTACAGTCGCTGAAGGCCGTGGCCGTGAGTACCAGGAGCGGGCTGAGCGGGAGACAGCCCGGCAGGCGCTGGGGTGCTTCTTGTTCTTTGCTAAAAACACCTGATTTTACGGTCTCGCTTCCTACTGGTCTGCTAGAAGCTGAGGCAGGTTTGGGAAGGGAGAGGGCCCGCGTCCGGCCAGCTGCTGCCCAGCGTGCCCGGGAGCTGGGCCCTCTGCTGTAGCCACGGGCCCCGGGACAGTCCCTTTGACAGTGTCATCAGCTCTTCTGTGCTCGTTGAATCCATAGTGAATATTTTGGCTTAAGCTGACGTTTTGGAGGTAGACTTTCAGCAGCCTCTTCATTTTTAGGCTTCTTGCTTTGCTGTTTCACAGTGGATAACCCACTTTTTTATTAACTTCAAGTCTCGTGGTTGTTGGCTGGTTTGCAGTTTTTGTGTTTTGTCTTCCAGTTCTAAAACAGGTGCACAACTATTCTGGGGGGAAAGGAAAGGGATAGACACTGGAGTGCCAGCACGTGGGCCGCTATTTTCAGTGTTTTTCATATGACCTCTCAGAGGCGTTTGTCACCCCCAGGGACCCATAAACAAAATGGGGGCTCAGGCCCTGGAGCCAGGAAGTGCAGGGACAGGTGTCGGGGCCGCAGCCTGCTGAGGGGGCTCCTGACAGACTGGCCCCCTGTGCAGGACCCGAGGATACACACACGGCCTGGGCCCAGAGTGGGTAACATGTCCCATGGAGTGTGCATGTCTGTGGTGGAGACGTCTCATTCTTTCATTAAAAGTTCAAAAACTTACAGAATCGCCTCCATGGCCAGACTGCAGGAGGTGTCCCCCACACTTGGAGTTGAGGGGTGTGAAAAGAACTCCCTTCACTCCACGGAATCGCAAGTGTGTGTGTTTGCTGTCTTGGAGAGGTTAAGGTCCTGTCTCCCATTTTTACCTTCGAAAATGCCAGCTATTACTGATTCCACCTGTGTGTGGAAAGCTTGGCTGAAACAACCATGCAAAGAAAATTACAGATGAAAAGAGGTGACACTTCTGGTGGCCCCCCGACTTCCTCGTGTCTGGAGGTGAGCTCTTCCTAGTTTCCAAAGTGCTACATAAGCACTTCACGTGCTTTCATTCTTTGCCTTTGGTTTACAGGAAAGATTTGACAGAAAAAAGAAAACCCAGTTTTAACACCAAAACACAAGGAAACAAACAAAACCCAGGATTGGGTTAACCGAGTTAATTGTTGGAGACATGTCTTAGGGGCTCTTATTCCGTGGAAGCCTTCTGTATCTCAGTGGCTTGGGTGGGGAGGTCACGGTGGGGAGTGAGCGTGCAGTTCTGGGCTCAGGTGAGATTTCAATCCAGACCCCACCGTGTGCCAACAGGTGACTTTGCACAGGTGCCCAGCCCCTCTGGAGCCTCAGAGGCCTCCTTGTGAAATTGGGTCCCAGGCACCGCTGTCACGGGGTTGCTGTGTGACCATGCACTGCAGAAGTTGACTTAATGATTGGGACAGAGGTAAAGCCGGCAGTCTGTTGACACATGTGACGGTGGGACTCTTAATGCCGGATTCAGCCAGCCTGCCACTCCCTTCCTAGCCCACTGTAGTCTCCCTGTATTGGCAGGACTTTGAGAACTAGTTGGCTGTTTATTCAGAAAGCCTGTGGTCTGGCCCCAGCCCTCACCTGGCTCACAACTTTATCCTCTGGCCAGTGCTGCTGAGGCCTCCCGGGCCTCAGGCTCCGGAGCTGAGAAGCTATTGGGTTTCTAAGGCTCCGAGGGTATTTGGAGCAAGGATTTACTTACTCAGTTTTTCTCCTCTTAGCAAATATTTAGTCACCCTGTTTTTACTAGTGTGTTGCCTTCGGAGCGTTTAGGAGAGAGGCAGGCAGGGATGCAGGCGGCTGCAGTGATGCATGAGGTGGGCTCCTGGCCCATGCTGGGGGGCCCCGGACCCAGAACACGGGGCAGGACGGGGAGGCTGGGAACCACAGCTCACAGGACGGGATGCTCAGAGGGCCTGAGACAGCGGGGTTGGGGGAAGGGTAGTGACTTACTGTCTTGCAGAGGCTTTTGGGGACAGGGGGCCAGCACGGGCCAGGCTTAGCACACAGGCTCTCAGTGGACATGCAAGGCCACTAGTTCACACAAGGAAACAGCCCACCCCAGCCTAGTTGCCCCCCTCAGTGAGTGGGAGACTGGCTGGGGCTCTCCCGCTTAGGGGCTTCCTGCGTGAAATCCTGTGTTTCAAGTGGAGTCCACGCGCCCACTGACATAACAAAGGCCTCACTGTCGTGTCTGGGACACTGCTTGCTGGGCCTCTCTCACAGTTTTTAATCCGGGCAGCCCGGGGAGGGCCCAGGAACCTGCATTGTTAACAAGCGGCTGGTGGGATTTTTATGCCCCTGGAGAACAGTTTATGAACTGGAACTGAACATTGAAAATCCAGAAATTTTAAGTAAATAGATTGACTTTTGTTCCAGAGAATGGTGGTTTGTAAGCTGGCACCCTGCCCCCTAAGGGCCTGAGGGGACCAGCAGCCTGGTGGAAAGTGCTGGTTGGTTTGTGATGAGGCTGCACAGCCTCTACTCCAGGTGCTGGGCTTGGAGCTGGACTTCTGTCCCCTCCGAGGACAGCCTGGTGCCAGGGAAGATGTTCATTGCCAGTCATCCAGCCTCTGATGAGTGAGACCTGGGGACACCAGTAACCGCTTTCTGAGGTTGAGCAAAGTGTGCACCTCTGAGCCCTGGGCTGGGCGGTCAGGGGAAGGAAGGAAGAGAGGGAGGGAGGGAGGGAAGGAGGGAGGAAGGAAGGCAACAGGTGTTAGGGTGGAGGTTGGGACCCACTGGTCCCAGAAGTGAGACACAGCACGTCACAGCTGTGCAGAGGGTCCTGCACCTCCGAGACGCTGGTCTCGCTGGCCCGCCTGACGCCGGTCGTGTAACCGTGCTCACTCTCCCTGCAGCCCGTGATGAACAACGACAAGCACTGCTTCGAGTGCTATGGCTACGACATCATCATAGACGACAAGCTGAAGCCCTGGCTGATAGAGGTAACTCCCCACAGCCCTCCCTGGGGCTGCTGCCCGGCTTCTGGCTCAGCTCCCCCAGCCTAACGTTCCGCAGGACTGGGGCAGCGGATGAGTTCTGAAAACATAACGGGGACAGAGGTTCAGGTTTGTCCGTTTGCTGATGGTTGAAAATGAGCTCACTCTGAACCTCTCACCTCCTGTGAGCCCAGCCCACAGACGGGGGAGCTCGGTGGCCCAGGTTCCCAGGCGCTCCAGGGTGCGTCATGATGAGTCTGTGCTCAGAGGCCCTGTCCCGTCCTCCCGAGGAACGTCATCCCCATTCAGGAAAGGAGCTCACCGACCCGGAAGCCCTTGGGAAGTGGTGGCATACCATCCAGAGATAAGCAACCTTATCTTCTTTGGATGAAGGCAGGGTTTGGAAGTGGATTCGTCTTCCTGTATCAAGGCATAGACGGGATGTAGTGGCGGCTGTTCTAGAAAGCTCTAGAAAGGGTGAGGTGCATACACCCTTTTCCTGCGACAAGTCTGGGTGACTGACTGTGGCAGTGGACACTGGCACAGCCACTGAGGCCCAGATGTGGAGCCCACCTTGCGGGGTTGCCCTGCTTTGCTCTGCAGGAGGAGGAGCTCAGGCCGCCGAGGGAGCACGGGGCGGGCACGCCGTCAGAATGGAGGCCGTCCATTCTGTTAGTTGATCTCCCGTGTGTGTCTCTGATCACTGTGTCTCCTCACCACGCTCACGGAAAGGTGGGCGGCGCGGGCCCTTTAGCTCAGTCCCGTTTTGAGCCAGGAAAGCCGTGTCTCAAGAACAAGTCGTTGTGAGTGGCCCCGTGTAGGGAAAGTCAGCAGGAACCTTGCAGGAAACTTCTGGAAGAGCCAGGTTATCAGAGAGCGACTGTGTTCCATAACAGTGCTTTCCACGTTACTGGTGATGCTGCCAAAGCTCTGTGTGTGCGTGTGTGTGTGTGTGTGTGTGTGTCTGTGTGTCTGTGTGTCTGTGTATGTGTCTGTGTGTCTGTGTGTCTATGTGTCTGTGTGTGTAAAGGTGGGGAGAGGGGAAGAGAGAGAGATCCATAGATATATAAAATATGTTTTCTTCCTTTTTAAATGGAGTAACTTGAATGGAAGTCAAGCTTTCCTTGATGAGCTAGGATCTTAATTGGGAATGTTACTTCTAACATAATAATATCTTAATTTCAGCACATTCATAATAAGAGTTAGGGTATTATGATGCGGTAGGAGTCTCGGACACCAGAGGCCCATGCACACCGTGCCCTGTGCACATGAGATGCCCTGCCAGCAGCACAGGACACACTGGCTTTCGGGGGAAACCTGAGCAGCATACAGGTTTGCTGCCTCTACTGCCCATGGGCTCAGGAAACGGCTCGCCAAAGTCATTACAACTGTTCCCAGGAGTAAGTAGGTGGTGACCGAGGGCCTGTGGGACTCCACAGAGTAAAAGTTTGCATTTTAACGCGTGGCTTTTGTGACATTGCTTAGCTCCTCAGAGGCCTGTGGGACTGCCTTCCCATTCGTTGGATGGGCTCTTCATTTGGGTCAGATTGTTCCTTTATTGGTGAGGTGTCACTCTCTTAGCAAAAAAAGGGGCCTGTTACCTTTTACTTTCACCCCAATGCTACGTGTTCAGGGTCATTCGGCTCCCTGGTTCTAGCGAAGCTCTGGGTAGCTTTTGGTGCTCAGGACAGAGCTCGTCACCTAGGCAGACACTGAAATGATGTTTGTGATGCAGGTTGACCTAAAATTTTTATTTGTGTGAAACCGATTTGTAGCTCAGAATCCCAATCCTGTCTTTAAATATGATTTCTATTTCTTCTAACAGCTAATAAAAGTAGATCACAAAATGCTTCCTAAGCAAGGTGCCCTGAAGACGTCAGATATTTACAGCATGGGATGACGACTTGACCTAAATGCATGGTAGCCAGGTTTCCTCCTGCAGCGCACACTTTCATTCCGAAGGAGCGAGTGATGCAAGTGAAGAACGCGGTTTCTTTCTTCTCGCAGGTGAATGCGTCCCCATCACTCACCTCCAGCACCGCCAATGATCGAATCCTTAAGTATAACCTGATAAACGACACCCTCAATATTGCGGTCCCTAATGGTGAAATTCCAGACTGTAAGTGGAACAAGTCGCCCCCAAAGGAAGTTCTTGGCAATTACGAAATCCTGTAAGTTTGCGTGTGGCTGTGCTGTCATCCTCGTGTGTCTCGGACTGAGGGGTGCCAAGGCCCAACTTGGGTTTTCTGGGTATATGAGGGCAGTGTATTTCATTTATTCCTGATGTTATGGGCTAGAGAAGTGGCTGGGTGCTAAACCAGGCTGTCACGTCCAGCGTGGCAAGGGCAAACGGGTTTCTCTTGAGGGGCGGCGTAGATTGAATAAAGAGTCAGAGACA